AAAAAAAAAACAATAAAGTACACTCTGTGTAGTCAAAAGGTGGCCTAGAAGCACACCCCGTACCCAGTTCTTGATTTCTCAATGCTGGTCTCTACCAAAAAGAAGAAAACCTCCTTGAAGAAAAGACTGATTCCTGGTAGGATAAGGAAAGTTATAAGATGAAACTGTAATCTCTTTTGTACCATAAAGTTGTGCCCACAGTGTGACGGTGATGTTAAAAGGGACAAAGAAGCTGGAAGGAGCTCCCCTGAGCCCAACCTGGGAAGATTTAAGCATCACAATGAATGGCCCACTTATATATTTAAATGTGCATTATTCCATACTGACATATATTAATAAAAAATGAGTGAACAATCCGTTGGGAAACTTACTTCCCAAGTAGAATGCCAACTAATAAATGTGGGAAGACTGTTGGGATTTGAAAATCATCAGTGGTGGCTAAAACTATGGGGTGAAATACTGATGTGGATCAGTATATTCACGCAGTTTCAAAACATCTTCTGAATAATTACGTACTAAAAATAAAGGGAAATAAAACAACAGGCCCAACATGGAGTCCCTTATGTTAAGTCCTATGTCACCAAACCAAGACTTCATTACAGTTTGGCTCTCCCAAAAATGGAACCGTAAACCATCAGGATCTCCCGATCAGCACTAGTCAGGTACTTTGCCTGATGGACTCCAGCCATCTCCTGAAGGAAAGTGATCTTGTAGGAACCAACCCACTTTTTGCCTAGGATGACTTCTTTGTCCCAACTTCCTTCTCCCTTATAAAAGTATTTCATTTTGTTTTTTAAGATTTTATTTATTTGACAGAGAGACAGCAAGAGAGGTAACACAGCAGAGGGGGTGGGAGAGGGAGAAGCAGGATTCCCGCCGAGCAGGGAGCCCGATGCGGGGCTCGATCCCAGGACTCTGGGATCATGACCTGAGCCGAATGCAGACACTTAACAACTGGGCCACCCCGGCGCCCCAAAAGTATTTCATTTTGTACAGCTCCTTGGAGTTCCCTTCTATCTGCCAGATTAGATGCTGCCCGATTTGAATCAATTTTTGCTCAAATAAACTCTTAAATGTTACAAAAAATAAAGGGAAATAGTAATTCTTAAGTCAAGAACACAAACATACAGAAGTGACTGAAGTTACTATCTGTATTGGTAAACATGGACACCATGTGCCTCCTGATATGAAGTACTATGAAAGATACAGTATCACTTCTGTGATTTCAGTGTAAACAATGCAGAAGGAAAATATTAGGAAACATCAGAGAAACAGATGGAAATTCTACAAAATTCATGACCTATCATATCCAAGGAATTCAAAGGCTAATTAACTTTCATTAAAGGAGTGGAGAGCAATGACAACAAAATGCCTCATGCCGTTCTGGGTTTGGCCATGGACCCCTAAAGACACCAAGGGGCAATATTAGGACAAATGGTAATATTTGAACATGCCCTGTGGATTACATAATAGTATTTTACCAATACTGAATTTCCTGATTATGATAATATTCTGATAATATAAGATGTGTCCTTAGGAAGCATGCACTGAAGCATTCACTTGTACAGAGGCAATATATTTACCCATTAATTCAAATTGTTCAGAAATCCACATAAGCACATGTATGCGGGGAGAGACTAATAAAACAAAAGATGCAAAACAAACAATTGTTTAATCTGGGTAGAATTTATACAAGAGTATTTTGTACTATTCTTGTACTTACTGTAAGTTTAAAGCTGAAAAATTTAAAAATTCAAAAATCAATACGTTTTACCACTTCATACAAAATGGTATCATAGGGCGCCTGGGTGGCTCAGTTGGTTAAGCGACTGCCTTCGGCTCAGGTCATGATCCTGGAGTCCTGGGATCGAGTCCCACATCAGGCTCCCTGCTCAGCGGGGAGTCTGCTTCTCCCTCTGACCCTCCCCACTCTCATGCTCTCTCTATCTCATTCTATCTCTCAAATAAATAAATAAAATCTTTAAAAAAAATGGTATCATAATCAACTCAGATGATGCATAAAATATAATTTGATGCTAATTCACCCATTCTTTGGCTTTAAAAAAAAAAAACAAAAAACCACAAAGTATAGAATGGATTTTCCTTAAACATTGAAAAAATTCTACAACACACGCCATACATATGATGTTAATATTTCACCCAAGATCAGAGACAAAAGAAAAATAATTGGGATCTCCTGGCCTTCAACATTACGGAAACTACCTAGTGTTGTATGGCAAGAAAAAATGTATACGTATATGCATTAGAAAGGAAGAAATAGATTGTTCTTTCACCTCTTTAAAATACATGCCAGACACATCATCCATACCAGCCCTAATGTGAACAGTCTTAATGTTGGGACTCCTCCCTCTCCTGTGTTTTTCTTCACCGCTGTCCTGCTTTTCTCTTTTCCACAGAACCTATTCCCTTCTAACATGCTATGGAAGTTAGGAACATTGCTGTTTTCTCACCCAGAATGTAGGTTCTACGAGGGCAAAATTCTTTTGGTGTTTTGTGCATTTCATATACCTAAAAGAGTCCAAGACTCATATAAGATATACAATAAATGATTTTTTGGAGCACTAAATGTCACCTTTTGTGACATTTGTAAGAATCCACTCTGCTACTTATCCTAACTTTACTAATTCACTACCACCCTCCCTTCAGGCTCAGTACCCTGAGTGCACTCAAGAATGGAGAAGAATCCTATTTTGGAGACAAAATTTTCAAGGTGATTAAGAATCCAACAAAGCCATGTGCTCAATTTCCTTCTCTTTTTAGATTTCAGTGTACTCTGCTCACCTACACTAGGCATTAAACTCCCTCCCTGCTCAAGGACAGGATTCCCATCTCAGTCACCCAGGTGCCCCACTCCTCACAGTGTGCCCAGAACACACTAAGTGGTCATGTAGATGAAGGATGGAGGTCTCAGGAGAACCCTGCTGAGCCCAGCAGCAAGTGTATAGTAGGACCTGGCACTGAACATACTAAGACTGTATGGAAAAACCTTGAAGTTGAGGGAACAAATCCTCAGATGTCCTTCATCTAGTGGAAAATGCATCACTCCTGCTTTGGGACAAACTGGGGTCAGCATCCCAGGCATGCAAAGGAGAACCTTTGATAAAAACCAAGATGCTTCCAGAGGGGGTTTCTCCAACTCTCTTGAACTCAAGGCTCAGTCACAAGTATGACCACAGCTACGATACACCCTCCAGAGAGAGCACAGAAGAGGGCAGGGGGCTCTGAGTCAACTCTCCTTTCTGAAGGACAGGAAACTGCACACTAGCCAAACAAAAGCTCTTATTAACTCAGCAAGAAGTGCAGCCACACTGTGTGTACCACAAAAAAGGTGCATGCCCACTATGAAAATGTGAACTGTGTAGTCTTTTAAAGGCGCTGAGGAAAGCTCCAAGTGAGGAAATGATCACTTTCTATTTTTCTGTACATTTTTAACCCATTAACATTATCTTGTGTACCCTGAAAACTAGTCTTGAAGGGAAGTCCACAGGATGAATGTAAAATGACCACAGCCAGTGTGGGCACACAGGGAATGGCAAGTTCACGGTGGCAACTGTGAGGCCCACACAAACCCGACACCCACATGTCCACAACCAGCATCCCCTGTTCAAATCCCTGGCGCTTCATTTATTCGTTTTTTTACATCATCATTTGTTTATTGCTAACGTGAATTCAAAGCAAGTATGCAGTTGCCTTTGCACTAAGAGGAACTCAGGGAGTCCAGACACAACTGCCACCATCAAATCTTAATCTTCAGAGAACAGCACTGGCACGAGGTTGGCCTGAAGGCACTGAGATGCCGCCAGTTTTGAGGTGTTCCATACTCAAGTAGCGCAACTGTCACTTCCAGGTTTCTTCTGAAGTCATCACTGGGATCCTTCCCGTCAGGTTTCTCTCCCACTCGGCAGTGGATGAACACACATCCTTCACTGATACGCTTCAGCCCCTCTCGTACGACCGGTTCAGCCTGCACGCAGTCGGGGCAGCAGCTCTTGCCCCCGGCGTCCTTAGAGCCAGTGAAGTAGGCGAAGATGGTCTTGTCGTGGTGCTGCCCCACGGCCCGGCGGAACCCCTCCAAGCCGGACACGCTCACCTCCTCGCAGCCCGCCATCGGGAGGGCTCGCCGCGCTCGGCCGGCAGGGGCCCCGGGAGGCGTGGCCACAGGCTGGCACTTTATTTTGAAACGGAACTTCACACAACCATTTGTAAGATCAGACAGTGAGAATACTGTGTTTGTTTTTCTGGGCTTAATTATGAATTTACCCCAGCAGAGTGTTTTATTTCACTGGTTTTAGCAGTAATTCAACCCCTAGAAAGCTGTGGAGGGGGGACTTGAGAATGCACAGTCCTCTACATGGGATTAACCTGTGAAACCCCAAGAATAGGAAGGAATTAGGCCCCAACTGAGAAGGCCACACCCACACCATCAGGGGAAAAATACAGAAGACAAAAGAGCAGAATGGAATCAAAAAGTGACGGAGAACAGCAGGCATTTAAAAACCACACAAACAAGTTTTACTTAAAAATATCAAAGCCTTAAACAGTCTGGAGGGAGCATGTTTTAATGTGGCTGTTGTATGCAGATCCTTCAGACAACATCAGAAGCAAGTGGCATGTGATGTTATTTTCAGAATTCTAACTTCTTCTAAGTTCAAGTATCTCATGACTCAGCCTTCATATTTCTCACAAAGAATGATGCTCCTTGAGGGTAGAGATGTGGAACAAGGCTTCCAGCAAATGTCTGTAGAGCTGCCCTCACTGTCCAAGCTTCTGGATATGGGACAGCAGTGCACACACATAAAAACAAAGGGCTGAGACCCTTTCTCTCAAACATTCCCCCACCAAAATAATGAAACTGATGAAAAACTAATAGGTTTGGCAGGGAAATCTGAAAGAGTTTGTGAAGACATTTGTTTTTTCAGTTTAGAGTCTAGGTTTCCATCCCCTTCTTTTTATTCTTCTTTTAAAAATAATGCTAAGATGGCTTTCTAAGTGTCAACCAAGGAGCAGATCGGTGGCCGGAGGTCTTTGTAAGTGCACAGTACCCACTGTCCGTCTCCCACATGCTTCTCATGGGCACATTAAGGCCCACGCTGTGTCCCATTCCATCTGACTCTTGACATAACAGTAAGTGCTGACCTGTCCACAGGTTTTCTCACAGCAATGACATCAATGTGGTTCCTGATCATTACGAATTCTCAGATGGTAAGTAAGAGTCTTCTTCCGGCTAAAGACTCCTCAGTAGTTGCGTTCAGAATGTGTTTCCCCAGGGCTTTCTCTGATGTTGACAGAGGTGGACCCATGGGTGACCTGCCTTCTCGAAATTTTCTCCAGTATGAATCCAATGATAAGTGGGGGCAGAGCCGTGGCTGGAGGCTTTCTCGTGTTCACTGCATCACAGGCGTCATCTCCAGTGTGACTACTCATGTGTTTGAAGAGCCAACAAAAATTCTTTACACTGAAAGGGTTTTGGTTTTTGATTTTCTTCCTCCAGTGTGGATCCCCTTATGAAGGACAAAAGAGGAGCAGGAGCAGTGGGTGAAGGCCTTTCCAAATTCACGGCACTGAGGGGGCTTCTCTCAAGTATGAACCCGCTGGTGCTGCAGGAGGTGTGACCTGCGTTTGAAGGCCTTCCCACACTCCAGACACTTGTATGGCGTCTCCCCCGTGTGGATGATGGAGTGCTGAATGAGGTACGTGCTCCGATGAAAGGCTTTCCCACACTGGGCACACTCATAGGGCTTCTCCCCAGTGTGAACCCGCTGGTGCTGCATGAGTTCTGAGCTGCATCGGAAGGCCTTCCCACACTCCATGCACTCGTAGGGCTTCTCTCCAGTGTGGATGATGTAGTGCTGAATCAGGTGTGCTCTGTTGCTGAAAGATTTCTCACATTCTTTGCACTCAAAGGGCTTTTCTCCGGTGTGGGTCCTGTTATGCCGAATAAAAGTAGAGCGGTGGGTGAAGGCCTTTCGACACTTACTACACTCGTAGGGCTTCTCTCCAGTGTGAATCGGATGGTGCTGCATGAGGTAGGACCTGCGTTTGAAGGCCTTCCCACACTCCATGCACTTGTATGGTTTCTCCCCGGTGTGAATGAGGTAGTGCCGAATAAGGGTTGAGCTCTGGCTAAAGGCTTTCCCACACGCATTGCATTCATAGGGCTTCATTCCAGTGTGAACCCGCTGATGTCGAACAAGGTACCACTTTCGGCTAAAACCTTTCCCACACTGCTTGCATTTGTAGAGATTATTCCCTGCATGAATCATGTGGCCTTTACCTGGTCCCTGTGGGTCACATTCACGGAGAACGTGTCCCTGAGAGTGCAGACTATCATCTGTCCCCAAACCGTCATCTTCAAGGCTCATTCTCCCAAGATGGGTCTCCTTTAGAGCATCTGTCCCAGGCTTCAGTTGACCTTTCTGCATTTCCAAAAGCCCTTCCCAATCCCTGGCGTGCGCCAACCTGGAGTCCCTTGAAGATCCCTGAGTCAGGCTTCCCTGGAGCAAGGCTCCCTCAGACAAAACCAGCTGAGAAGTGCTTGGGTCCCTGGTCTGAAGTTTTGCACCGTCACCTGCAGAGAAGCCAACACAGAGAGGGGAACTTTTAGTGACTCAATACAGAAGAAACAAATTCAACACTTCAGTGGGAAACTGAGGATGAAACAGTACCCTGGGATTGCTGTGTTCCACAGCTCTGTATCCTGGGTTTCCAAGGACTGTCTCTGGTCCTTGTACCCTTGACACCATTAAAGGGAAAATCCAGAGGACAGGCTGGACCAGGGAACCGAGGATCTGGAGTGGAAACCCCTCCTCACAGTCCAGAGGAGAGGAGGGAGGACATAACACTGTCTGTGGGGTATTTGCTTCAAGAATTGATGTCTCTTGGTGTTAAGAGAGTACACAGAAGTGGCACCGAACAGGACTGGGACGAAAAAGAGGTCATCTTCCCAGAAGTGTCCCATGAGCTAGGTCCTAATGGAGAATCAGAATTGCCAGAGAGAGAAAGAGGAAGGGAGCACTGGGTTGGAATGGGAGGAGCAAGTATGAGTAGAGTCACTCCTGGAGAGTGCTGAACAATTAAAGGAAGAAAGGGCCCCAGATGCCTGGTGAAGCCAACAATGAAGTGGGATCACCATAAAAGGAAGAGAATTAAGACTGAAGAAGAGGGATGGAGGGACACTCAGGGACAAATGGTATAAAAGACAAGCTTCTGCTCTGCTGGGAGGCATCATGTTGTGGTTAAGAGGGCTCTGGAGCCAGAAAGCCATTGGTCCAGGCCTGCCTCTACCAAGTGAGTGATCTTGAACAGGTTACTTTTTTCTTCAAAGCATGATTTCCTCATCTGAGAGACTAGGAGACTCCATCTCATTCATGTTCTCCATGAATGTGACCAAGAGGTCACTAAGAGTTTCACAAAGAAGTTCAGAGGCACTGGTTCCTTGCATGCTGAAGGCTCCCATGACTCCACCTGACCAGCTGTCCCCTCCTACCTGAGCAGGTGCTACGGGAGAGGCCTCTCTTTCCTGTCCATAGCTCCTGCCCGTGCTCCAGTAGATGGGTCAACTCTGGTTTGGGAACCGGATGCCCTGTTGATGGAGAAAGAAATAGGTCATGGTGTATGAGAAGAAAGCAGTATCTCCATCCCCTCTGGGACTTCATGGCAGGGACAAGAACTGAATGAAGCTGTGGAGAAAATGCTGACCTATGACCTGGAAACCAACTGCACAAATCCCATTCCTGGGCTGCAACTGCCATAGAGGGTGGTGCTGTCTGTCCAGACAACATCAGTGTCCTTGAACCTCATCGACAGAAGCCAATCCTACTCAGGGGCACACCACTTTCACACACAGCCATGAGACCCTGGGAAGGGGGCCCCTCCTTCCAGAAGGGATTCTGTAATTAATCTAAGTCACTGTTCTCAAACACCCTGTACTTCAGAACCACTTAGGGATGCTTGATTCCAACCTCAAACCAAAAGAAACAAAACTGCTTGGGGTGAGGCCTAGCCAACAGTATTTCTGGCTCTCCCTAGGGAATTCTCTCTCCCAGAGAGAACTAAAAACTGCCAGGGCAGAAAGTGGTGAATGGCATCTCCGATCACTGGTAATCTGAGAGAGGCAGGTGACCTGAGCTGAAGACAAAGCCTTTATTCCAATGTGAGGGGAGGCTGAACAAGGGGGCTGCTTCCTCAGTCCTTCCTGCAGCACCCCACAGGCCCAAAAGGGAGCCAGCCTGAGGAACAGGGAGATGCCTGGTCCAGGGAGAGGAGCAGAGAGAACCTTCACATCACTGAGGATAGAACTAGGTGGCTGCAACCTTCAACCTGGGGGCCAGCCCCACCCTGGGGCTTCTCATTAGGTGAGATGGGAGATTTCCTTCAGGGGAAGCCGGTTTCAAGCTTGCTTTTTTGTTTCGTGCAGCCAGACACAGCTCAACAGAGATAGGTGGGTTCTGTACAGAATTTCAAGGACTGAGGCACCAGGACCCACTGAAGTCTATCAGCTAGCAGATTCTGATCCTCAGCCCAGGACTCATTCGGACAAGTCTCGGTAACAGTCACCAATGTGTCCTACATGCCTGGCCCGGAGCTCAGGGAGGGGCAGGAGAAAAGGTGAACCAGACGTTCCTTTGGCTCTGCCAGGAGTTGAGCCCCCTCTCACCTCAGGGTCTCTTCTTGTACTGGTTCCTCCACCTGGAACCCCTCCTCCACCTCCCCTCCAAGCTTCAAGGCTCAGTTCCAATGTCACTTCCTGAGATGCCTTTTTTGAAGCACCCATGATGGATTATGACCACCTGGCTACATACGCCTAAGGTCCCCTAATATTTCTATGTATGACTCATCACAATTCATCTAAGAATTGACGTCTGCCTTCCCACCTGAACTCAGAGTGAACGGTCTGCATTCTCACACACACGGTGCCATTGTCACTGATGGCCTCTCTTTAACCGGCCCCACTTTTAATTTTTTTTTTTTTTTTAAGATTTTATTTATTTATTTGACAGAGACAGAGACAGCGAGAGCAGGAACACAAGCAGGGGGAGTGGGAGAGGGAGAAGCAGGCCCCCCGCCGAGCAGGGAGCCCTATGCGGGACTCGATCCCAGGATCCCGGGATCACGACCTGAGCCGAAGGCAGACGCCTAACGGCTGAGCCACCCAGGCGCCCCCCCACTTTTAATTTTTGTTACGTATTTTGTTCTAAAAAGGAACTCTGTTTTGCTCTGGTAAATGAGCAAAGTCAAGTTCACTCTCCACAAATGGCAGGTTACCATCAAAACACAACAACGAGATCAAAGTAATGCCATCAGAGCCCTAGCAAGTTCATGTAGATAGT